TATAACAAAGTTTTATATGATAATTACCATTATTACTATAACAACAACAACAACAACAACAACAACAAAAACAAAAACAACAACAACAACAATAATCGAGATTATTATTATTCAAACAAAGACATTTTTCTCGGAGAAAGTCTTGAGATGGGAATTTTTTTGGATAAAGATACGTTTGTGTCAGAATGGAAATCTACTGAAAGAGTTAAATTTATCGTTGATTATAAACGTTTAGATATTAAAATTATTTTTGGTTTTGGTAATTACACATTCAGATTAGAAGTACAGTTTAAAGACATAGACGTTAATATTTGTGCTGAACTTGACGATTCAGATAATGAATCAAGAGCTATTTTAACTGTGCCTAGTAAATATCCTGCCAAATTTTGGATGTTGGATGAATTTTCGAAACCAAAAAACAAATTCAAATGGAACATTAATGAAAATTGGTTTAGGAAAACAGAGATTCGTACTGAGCCTCGATCACCCCATGAAAAGTCGTTGCCTCTGCAGTTGCATGTTGGAAATGATCAATTTGGCAGATGGACTGTTTACAGAGTGTCATTTGATTTAACCACTGTTGAAGGAGGCTTTAAAAGATTTAGAGGAATGATTAGGAAAGCTGTCGAATTCCGCCTCACAAATGGCCAATTTAACAGACTTTTAAGGGTGGTTAAAAGCAATCAATTAAACAAATGTTTGGATTATTCAATTTTAAAATTTGATGTTCTATACATGCTTCAAAGCGCTATATCACATAATTATTTAAACGAATATACTATAAATTATGAATTTATCAATTTATTGGCGGCTCAAAAAACAGATAACGCTGTTTGTATTTTGGAATCCATTTCAAGTCGTAAAAGACCAATTTATGATCCTTTAACATTTTTAAAAAATGAAATTATCAAACAAAAAAATATCGAAAGAAGACCTAAAGTAGTTCCTGAATATTGTGTATTGATGCGCAAAGCAGTTGTCACGCCAACCACAGTTTATTTTCTATTGCCGACTATGGAAACATCTAATCGAGTCATCAGAC